GCTCTTCAGCTCAAGGCTAGCACTCTACCACTTGAGCCACAGCACCACTTCCAGCTTTTTTCTTTTTGCTTATGTGGTGCTGAGGAATCGAACCCAGAGCCTCATGCATGCAAGGCAAGCGCTCTACCACTGAGCCGCCTTCCCAGCCCTATCTTTGACATTTTTTTTTGTTGTTGTCGTTCATGGGGCTTGAACTCTGGGCTTGGGCGCTGTCCTTGTGTTCTTCATCTCAAGGCGAGCGCTCTACCGCTTGAGCCACAGCACCACTTACGGTTTTCTAGTGATTTATTGGAGATGAGAGTCTCACGAACTATCCTGCCCGGGCTGGCTTTGAACCGTGATCCTCAGATCTCAGCCTCCTGAGTAGTTAGGATTACAGGCGTGAGCCACCGGCACCTGGCTATCTTTGCCATTTTTAAGTGCACTTTGGCTGGTCTTAAGCAGGTTCACAGGGTTGTCAGCCCATACTTCACCCCCAATTTTTCTTTTTTTTTTTTTGTCAGTCGTGGGGCTTGAACTCTGGGCCTAGGCGCTGTCCCTCAAGGCGAGCACTCTACTGCTTGAGCCACAGCACCACTTCTGGTTCTAGTGGTTTATTGGAGATAAGAGTCCCATGGACTTTCTTGCTTGTGCTGGCTTTGAACTGTGATCTTCAGATCTCAGCCTCCTGAGCAGGATGACAGGCGTGAGCTACCGGCGCCCGGCTCACCTTCTTCCCCAACTCAAATTCTGCACCCATTAAACAATGACCCCATCCCTGCCCCTGTCCACGGGAGCGAGCTCCATTCTGCTTTGTCTCTAAGTCCAACTGCTCCAGGGACCACCCCTGAGGGAAATCATACGGTGTTTACCCCTTGCTGTTTTACTGAGTTAGTATCTTCAAGGTTTATTCATGGCATAGCTATATCAGAGCATCCATTCTTTTATTTCATTATTTTGTTACTTACTTATGTCTGTACTGGGGCTTGAACTCAGGGTCTGGGTTTTATCGCTTAGCTTTTCTGCTCAAGGCTGGCACTTTGCCTCTTTCTTTTTCTTTTTCTCTTTTTTTGCTGGTTGTGGGACCTGAACTCTGGGCCTGGGCACTGTCCCTCAGCTCTTCAGCTCAAGGTGAGCACTCTGTCACTTGAGCCACAGCGCCACTTCTGGCATTTTCTGCTGAGGAGTCGAACTAGGGCCTCATGCATGCAAGGCAAGCACTCTACCACTGAGCCACCTTCCTGGCTCCGCACTTTACCTCTTAGGCCACAGCTCTGCTTCTGGCTTTTTGGGCGGTTAATTGGAGATAAGAGTCTCAGGGAAGCCAGGAGCTGGTGGCTCATGCCTGTAATCCTAGCTATTTAGGAGGCTGAGATCTGAGGATCTCGGTTCAAAGCCAGTGCAGGCAGGGAAGTCCATGAGACTCTTATCTCCAATAAACCACTAGAAAACCGGAAGTAGCACTCTGGCTCAAGTGGTAGAGCGCTGGCCTTGAGCTGAAGAGCGGAGAGACAGTACCCAAGCCCAGAGTTCAAGCCCCACGACTGACAAAAAAGAGTCTCAGGGACTTTCTTCCTTGGAATGGCTTCAAACCATGATCCTCAGATCTCAGCCTCCTGAGCAGCTAGGAGGACAGGCGTGAGGCACCAGCTCAAGGGGTAAACCGCTGGCCTAGAGTAAAAAGGCCATGGACAGCACTCAGGCCCTGTGTTCAAGTTCCTAGTAATGGCACAAAAGAAGGGCTGGGGCGGAGGTGGGTGAGGGGCAGGGCCCCGCCTCACGCACTCCTGTCTGCAGCATCAGAACGGCATGTACGGGTTGCACCAGGGCGTGCACCACTTCAGCTCCTTCGACAAGGTGCGGAGCCTGCCGCTGCTGCTCAGCCAGGCCGGCGTGCGCACGGGTGAGGCCCGCGGCATGAGGGAGGGTGCGGGGGTACGGGCCGGGCCCCTGCGGCGTGAGGGAGGGTGCGGGGGTACGGGCCGGGCCCCTCCTGGAGCCCGCCCGCTCAGGGCTGGGAGGACCGAGTCCTCGGGGCGGCCTGCCCTGAGCCCTTGTCCCCAGGACCTGGGCCTGCGCCACCTGTGGTCTGCGGCCTTCCACCGGCCGCCGCCGCCGCTCTTGGTGCTCAGGATGAGAAGGGACCGAGAACCCTGGACCCGTCTCCCCGCCCGCAGGCATCATCGGGAAGAAGCACGTGGGGCCGGAGACCGTGTACCCGTTCGACTTCGCGTACACAGAGGAGAACAGCTCTGTGCTCCAGGTGGGGCGGAATATCACAAGGATTAAGCTGCTAGTGCGGAGATTCCTGCAGACCCAGGATGACCGGTATGGGGGAAGAGGGGCCGCCGCCTCCTCCCAGCAGGGCCCGACCCAGCCTTGAACCAGGACTCCCCGGATGGCCGGGAGGGAGGGCAGGGAGAAGATTCCAGATGCTCCAGTGAGTCCTTGAGGTCGTGGGGGCAGTGAGGGAAACAGGAAGACTTTGAGACAGGCAGGAGTGGACAAAGCTGCGCGTGGGGCTGTCCAGGCTAGAGGGTCAGTGTGTGGGCCGAGCCGGCCACACGACCCCCGACCTTGATGTGCGCCCCTCCCCCACATCCAGGCCCTTCTTCCTCTACGTGGCCTTCCACGACCCCCACCGCTGTGGGCACTCCCAGCCCCAGTACGGAGCCTTCTGTGAGAAGTTCGGGAATGGGGAGCGCGGCATGGGGCGCATCCCGGACTGGACACCCCAGACCTACAACCCTCAGGACGTGCTGGTAGGGGCCCTTGCTGCGCTTCCAAGACGCCCTCTGGCGCCGTGCCTAATGCCCTCCCGCAGCCCCCAGCCCTGGCCCACCGCGTGGTTGGATGTGCGGGAGGGGACCCCAGTACTTGCTAGGCCTGGGCGTCCTCTGTGGGCTGCAGAGAGACACCTCCAGAATTCAGCCCCTCGGGCCAGTCTGTCCTCAGGAGCAAGGTGGTGCCCGACCCTGGCAAGAAGGCTGGCATTCCACCTCCTACCCAAGTTCACGGGCAGCTCCCTTCCCCAGGCCTCTCTCCCATTCTGCTGTGCCCTCCCAGGTGCCGTACTTTATCCCCGACACACCAGCAGCCCGAGCCGACCTGGCTGCCCAGTATACGACCATCGGCAGGATGGACCAAGGTGGGTTCCGAGGACCAGGCCAAGGAGCTCCCTGGGCCCAGCCCAGGTGGGCGCCCCTGTGGCAGTGTGCGCAGGTGGGCAGGCCCCGCTGGGCTGAGCCGAGCAGGCTACACTCAGGCAGCCCTGTGCCCTGCGGGTCACCAGCTGTGCTGAAGAACTGCGCTGGGCCGGGCCGGGCCCTGCGGCTGCCCTTAGGGACCCCAGCGCACTTCAGCAGTGGGATTGTGAAAAGGCTGTGGGATGCGGGGTTGGATCTAGATGTGCTGACGCAGAACTTGCGTCAGTGTTTGTGGCTGACACCGGGGGCTTCACACAGCAGAAGTTTTATTCTCGAGGTATGGAGGCCAGGAGTTTGGAGGGAAGACCGCTCCTGCCTCCGCGGCTTCTGGGTGGGGACGCGTGGCACCCCCGGCTTGTGGCCACATCGCCGCAGCCAGCTTTATGCAGCATCCCTGCCGCGTCCCCCCTTCTGAAGAGCACCCTCACCTCAGCGCTGGACACATGGCCCACCTGGAGACTTGGGAAGGGTCACACCCTGAGTTCCTCACCTTCCACCTGCAAAGTCTTTTCCAGATTAGGTCAGATTTAGGGGTACCAGCAAATGTACCCCTGGGGGGAGGCTGACCTTGTTGAGGAGGTCGGTACCTTCATCACGCCCCTGTTGGCGTGGTGAATGACAGCGGCCCCGGGAAGCGGGTGTGGAGATGCCGTCCTCAGCCTCTTCCCAAGCTGTCCATTTGGGGGTTTGAACTTGAAATTTAAAAGCAGAAGGGGCTGGGAAGGTGGCTCAGTGGTAGAGCGCTTGCCTTGCATGCATGAGGCCCTGGGTTCGATTCCTCAGCACCACATAAGCAAAAAGAAAAAAGCCGGAAGTGGCGCTGTGGCTCAAGTGGTAGAGCGCTAGCCTTGAGCTGAAGAGCTGAGGGACAGCGCCCAGGCCCAGAGTTCAGGCCCCACGACCAGACCCAGAAATAAAAATTAAAAAATAAAAAATAAAAGCAGACGCAGGGAAAGCCGTGGGAGCGGCGGCAGCTGAGGGCTGTTGAGGGATGGGCAGCACCCTGGGGCTCTGTGAAGGGCTCCAGGATGGGGTGGGGTTGCAGGTAGTTGCCTGGGCTGGCAGGAAGGGCCACTGGGTGCTTTAAGGCACACAGAGTGCAGCGGCTAGGTGACAGGATGGTCAGCAGGCCGGAGGAGCTGACACCACCCTCCCCCCCCCCCGCCCCCAGGGATCGGACTTGTGCTCCAGGAGCTGGGCAGCGCTGGAGTCCTAAACGACACACTGGTCATGTTCACGTCAGACAACGGGATCCCCTTCCCCAGCGGGAGGACCAACCTGTACCGCCCCGGGACTGCTGAGCCCCTGCTGGTGTCATCTCCGGAGCACCCGCACCGCTGGGGCCAGGTCAGCGAGGCCTACGTGAGCCTCCTAGGTGTGTACGGACGCCTCCGCCCACCACGTCCGGGGAGGGGAGTGTCCCCTGCCAGGTGTGGTTGCGCTCTGGTGACAGCATCACGGGGCGGGCCACGGAGGAAGGCATGGCACAGGCAAGCTTTCGAGTCCCCAGACGTGGGCCTGCCACGTTCGGACGTGGTGCCAGTGCTGGTGCCCAGGGACCACACTTAGAGAACGCCTGCCTTCCTGGCCCTGCTCATCTCTGGCTCTGTACCCCCCCACACACAGAGCTGTAAGTGCGAGAACTGTGAAGGACTGGGGGGTGGCCCTGCGCCTTCCCCCCCCCCCGCCCGCGCCTGGAGGAGCTTCCGGTGGCTGACTGGGCTGTGAGCGTGGGTTCCTCCTAGCTCGGAGCCCTCCTCTTTTTGGCCCCAAACTCTGAGCTCAGGAGCTCTGGCGGGCCCTCCTTCCCTGAGGCACGTCCAGCCAGTAGGAGTTTTGTTTTTTTGTTTTTTGTCGGTCGTGGAGCCTGAACTCTGGGCCTGGGCGCTGTCCCTCAGCTCTTCAGCTCAAGGCGAGCGCTCTTCCACTTGAGCCACAGTGCCACTTGCAGCTTTTTCTGTTTATGTGGTGCTGAGGAATCGAATCCAGGGCCTCATGCATGCAAGGCAAGTGCTCTACCACTGAGCCACCTTCCCAGACGCCTATAGGAGTTCTAAAGACCCTAAGTAGGAGCCAGCCAGGGCCTCTGAGCATACTGTGCATGCTGTGGACGGTCTCATGGCCCAGCTGTGCCAGGCCAGGGCCCAGGGCACGCCGCCCCGCTGGCGATGTCTGGCCTTCGGGTTTGGAGTAGCGCACGCCAGGCTCCGTGCCCGTGGGTCCTGGCTGACGAGTGCTTTCTTTCCAGACCTCACCCCTACCATCCTGGATTGGTTCTCCATCCCCTACCCCAGCTACGCCATCTTTGGCTCCAGGACCGTCCAGCTCACGGGCCGGTCCCTGCTGCCGGCGCTGCAAGAGGAGCCCGCTTGGGCCACGGTCTTCGGCAGCCAGAGCCACCACGAGGTGACCATGTCCTACCCCATGCGCTCGGTGCTGCACGGGCACTTCCGCCTGGTGCACAACCTGCACTTCAAGATGCCCTTCCCCATCGACCAGGACTTCTACGTCTCGCCCACCTTCCAGGACCTCCTGAACCGAACCGTGGCCAGCCGGCCCACGGGCTGGTACAAGGACCTCCACCAGTACTACTACCGCGCCCGCTGGGAGCTCTACGACAGCAGCCAGGACCCCCACGAGACGCAGAACCTGGCCGCAGACCCGCGCCTGGCGCCGGTGCTGCAGGCGCTGAGAGCCCGGCTGGCCAAGTGGCAGTGGGAGACGCACGACCCCTGGGTGTGCGCGCCCGACGGCGTGCTGGAGGACAGGCTCGCCCCGCGGTGCCAGCCTCTCCACAACGAGCTGTGACCTGCCACCGGGCGCCTGCTCCCGCCCTGCCCTCCTCCCGGGGTCACGGCTGCCTCCCCCCGGCGCTGCCTCGCTGCCTCCCTGGCCGAGGACTGGCTGTGCTGGCATCCGAGCTGTGTCCTGGCAGGGGGGTTCTGGGGACTATGGAGACAGGGTGGGGACCCGGGTTCCCTCCAGCCTGTGTGTCCCCAGCCCACAAGGAGCCTGGGACGTCCCGCAGCCCCCACGGGCAGTGGCCGCTTTTACCAACCTTGGTCCCTAGGAAAAGGCTCTGCCCGGCCACAGCTTGCTCCTGCTGCCGCCTTGCCCCACCCCCAATCCCAGGCCATGCCTGCCCACGTAGCGTTTTCCTGGATTCTTGGTGGTCTTTCTGAGGGTGAGGCCGAGTTCCACCCTTCTTCATGTGACACCAGCACCTCGTTCACATCGGCCCTGTCCCCTCCCACCACCGGGCCCCCCCCCTCTGCTCTGTAGTGGGGGACGGGGAGGCGGCAGGCCATGGGCCACCATGGGACAAAAGCTTTTTATTTTAGTAAAATACATAGGAATTCCTTTTTTGGACTCACTTGTGACCGCAGCAAGCTGAAGCGCAGGGCCTCCTGGTCCAGGCTGCTGTCCCAGTGACATTCGGTCGGCTCGGTCCCAAGAGGCAAGGGGTGGGGGAGGGGAGCGTGGCCCCGTGGCCTGGGGTGAAGATCCTGGCCCCCAAGAAGCTCCCCGGCCCTTGTCCTAACAGCCTGCATGTGGGGGGCAGGGCACACTGGCCACAGGCCACGTGCTAGATCACTAAATCCCAGTGTGCCACAGGAATGCCCCTGCAGGTGAGCACACTGGCGTCTGACAGAGGGGCTCCGGGGCCACAGGAGCTGAGAAAGGCCGTCTGGGGCCGGGGAGGGTGGGGTTCTCGTCTGCCGTGGGTTGGAACGCACCCTCTGCTGCCTTCTGAGGTGAGAGGCGTCACAGGATCGGGTGCGTATCCCGTTATCCCTCATCCGGGCCCCAGCCGGCATGGCCGCGTCCCGGGGCTACATCCCGAGGGAGGCCGGGGCCGGGGAGACGGTTTACTCTGACGGAGCTGTGGTGAGGTTCCAGCGTGGCCTGCTCACGGTGAGCATGTGTTCAGAGTGGGCCCTGCTCTGTCCACACTACCTTCCTCTGCTCGTCTGCAACGGCCAGGCGGACACAGCTGAGCAGGCTGTCCGGGTCGCTCCAGCTGTCGGGGGCCAGGCTGCTGTACAGGCAGGGCGCTTTGTCCAGCTCTCCGTCCTCCTGCCTGGCCGCCTCCAGGAGCTGCTCCTCCGAGGTGCCGAGCCGCTGCAGGCCCTTCCTGCGAGGCGGCGGTACAGAGGACGGCTCAGGGCGGTGAGGTTGCCCAGGCCCGCTGCCCAGAACCCAGCTCAGATGGGCCACAGAAACACCCTGGGCTGAGGGTCTGGTGGCCCTACCTCAGCCTCTTGAGGGAAAAAAGCCAGGACCCAGCCCCAAGTGGCGCGTCACCGATGGGGACGGGCCCGCGGGGACATTGCTGTTGGCATGGGCGGGTGGGGCTGGAGCAGAGGGAGTCGGGGAACCACCAAGCTCAGGCCCAAAGCGCAGGCCGGGCCAGGTGGCTCAGGGGTAGCTCTGACCCTGCTGCCCCTCCCCGGGTGTACCTGAGTTTCTTTGCCGTCTTCTCGTTGACTGAGACATGGAGGATGATGGGGAAGATGTCCATCCTGTGCAGGACGTGGATGCTGTCCAGCCGTACATCCAGGAGGGCATGGGTGTTCTGTTTGGGGGGAGGGAGAGGCTCGTGGGCCGAAGGCGCAGTCGCTGGGCGGGCAGAGCACGGGTGGATGGCACTGGGGAACGGGTGGGAGAGAATTTCCACTCCAAGCGCGGCGCTGTGCACTTAGGAGTCCTGGGATGGAGGGAGACTACTCGGGGTGCAGCCACCCCGGGGATCACAGGGTGCACTGGGCCTGGGGCGGGGGAGGCTGGGCTCCTCACAGCTGGGGAAGCCCCCTGAAGCTTCCAGACATGGAAGTGTTACTGTCTCAGTGTTTCACCATAAGCAAATATTTACTAGACATCTCTTGAACTGAGAAAACTGAGGCTCAAGGAATGAAGCCTGGCCCCGGAGCATGGGACCCCTAGAGAGCAGTAGCAAGGTTTGTCCTACTGAGGGTAGGACGCCCTAACCAGGGCGTCCTGGGCCCCGGTGACCCCCCCAGGCCTCCCCAGCGCAGCCCCAGGGTAACCCTCCAACCCGCCCCTACCGTCTCTGCCAGGCCCTCGACAGCCTGGCGGGTCACCCAGCACAGGCTGCCAGCCGCCTCTCCCTCCTGGATGAGGTCCCCTCTCCGGCTCCGGACCTCGAACTCCTCCTGGCTCAAGTGCTCTGGAGGTGACAGTGGGTGGGGCTGTCACGCACCTGCCTGCTCGGGTCGAGAGCCTGCGCTGAAGCCGCGCCCCTGCGGAGCCCTGGCTCAGCGCGCGTCCCGAGCCCTCCATGTGCGGCCACTGCAGCAAGCAGGCCCTGCACTTGCTGCCCAGGACCCTGGACTACCCGCCACCCTGGACTGTCCATCCCCTGGACTGTCCCCTACCTTAGACTCTCCGGACACCACAGGGATGCTGTCTGGCGGGTGGGAACAAGGGAGGGCGGATGGATAGATGGACTAGCAGGACTGGTGGACAGAGATGGCATGAGGGCACAGCAACCCTGCCTGCCTCCTGCGCATCTCTTCCTTGGGCTCAGACTCACATCCCCAGCCTGCAGCAGGGCCTGGGCCCCGGGACACCTGTCACACATCCCCAGCCCGCAGCAGGGCCTGGGCCCTGGGACACCTGTCACACATCCCCAGCCCGCAGCAGGGCCTGGGCCCGGGACACCTGTCACACATCCCCAGCCCGCAGCAGGGCCTGGGCCCCGGGACACCTGTCACACATCCCCAGCCCGCAGCAGGGCCTGGGCCCCGGGACACCTGTCACACAGGGAGGGGTGCTCTGGCATTAGGTAAGATGAGAACTCCTGCAGGGCAGACGTGAAGCTAAGCGCCCCACCCTACACTGAGGCCCTCACTTTTGCCTTATGCCCAAAAGGATTCGCATAGATTCGGCCTCCGGAGCCCAGGTCAGCGCTTGCTCCCTGGCTGCCCCGCCCACAAGGCCCCTGATGGGGGGCCATCAGCTCGTGGTGCCCAGCTCTATACAGGTCTCACGAGTCCAGCGCGTGCCCAACCCCTCGCTGACATCCATTCTTTTTTTTTTTTTTTTTTGCTGTCGGTCGTGGGGCTTGAACTATGGGCCTGGGCGCTGTTCCTGCACTTTTCAGCTCAAGGCAAGCGCTCTACCGCTTGAGCCACAGCGCCATGTCCAGTTTGCTGGTGGTTTATTAGAGATAAGAGTCTCACACGGCCTTTCCTGCCTAGACTGGCTTTGAACTGCGATCCTCAGATCTCAGCCTCCTGAGTAGCTAGGATGACAGGTGTGAGCCACTGGTGCCTCTATTCTCTTTTTAAATGAGTGGTCAAAAGCCTTGTCTCACCAAGCACCCATGCCAAACATGAGAGCCCAGTGGAAGAGCCCCCCACAGACCATGTCTGTCAAAGACTTGCAAATAGGGTTCTCCTAAGGGCGGATGAGTTAGACTGGGCACCAAATCCAACCACCTGCGTCTTGGCAGGAAAGCCATGTGGAGGAGACACCCTGGGAAAAGGCCTCCTCTGGTCAAGGCTGAGATGCAGCCACACGGCCGTGAGCCAAACAAAGACCCTTCAGGATATCTGTGGTACCCCCAGAGGCTGAACTAGGCCAGGAAGGGCTCACCTCTGGGTCCCCAGGGAGCCCAGCTCTGCTGGTGACCCGGGGACAGATCTGCCCTGTGGCACTGCAAGAAGATCGTTTCTGCTACTTACCCCCTCCCCCTCCCCTC